ATCCCAGGAGGCTGGCCCTCAGACAGGTGTTTGGACAAAGGCCCCAGCAGGCTTCTGGAACCTTGTGTGTCACAGCTCTTTGTGCTGGGGGCTCGGGGAGGGGAGGGACTAGAGTTGTGGGCCGGAGGGTTTTCAGTTTCTTGGGCTTTGTCAGCCCCCACCCCCCGGGAGATCTGTTCTTTCTACAGGAAGTGACCCCAGGTAGGGCTCCTGCTCGGTATGCTGTGAGTGCATGCCCCCCTGAAGGGACACTTGTGCTTCTCCCTGCTCAGGGGAGGGGATAAGGTCCCAGTACCCCTCCCTCCCACCTCTGCCAGGGATGGGCTGAGATTGTTGATGTCATGGAGACGCAGCCGGGAACCCCAGCCCCAGGTCTGCCCCACTGCGATCCTGCTCAGTACTGAGCTGCCTCTGCCTCTTCAACAGGGTCACGACACGTCCCTCGCCCCACTCACAGGTGGACAGCTGCCTGGGGCAGGGGCCCTGGCTTGGGGCCTAGGGTTGGGGATTCAGGTGCAGGGCAGGATCAGGCTGGGAGTGAGGGCAGTGTTTAACCGTCTCTGGGAACAAGGATGTGGGCAGGCCAGAGCGGAGGCTGTCCCTAGCCCTGGCTGGGGACTTGGCCAGCACCTGTTGACCCAGAGCTTCCCAACTGGTCAGGTCCCAGACTTCCCCACTGGGGCTGAGGAAGGGTGTGGCAGGCTGGACAGGCTCTGGCTGGGTGTGGCCTGGTCTTAGGGAGAGGAAGGTGTCTGGAGGTCAGTGTGTTAGCCCCAAGTAACCACTGTGCTGCTGGGGGACTCTGGGCTTCGGGGAGAAAGGGGCCAGGATCCAGGCCGAGGCCAGGGCCCTAGAGAAGGGCAGGCAGGCCAGTATGCCTTCCTGCTGCACCAAGGGTGGAGGTGGCACAGAGCAGGTGGCCACCGTTCCTGGCACAGTTGAGGTGGTGTGGACTTGAGGTGTGCGTACCATCCTCTTCCGTGCTGCCAGATAGAGGACCCCATCCACCCTTGGGACCCCACATCTGAGGCCAGGCACCAGAGAGTGCCGAGGGGCAGCTTTTTGGAGCAGGTTTTGGAGGGTCGGCCTGGTGTCCTTAGGCAGGTGTGGGGAATACCTTCTCGGGGAGGGGTGTATAAATGTCACATGGGTGACTCACACCCAGCCCTTGCCCTGCCCCACCCCTGACCACCTGCTGTACAGGCCTTTTGAGCCCTCTCCTCCAAACCATACACTCTGGACCCCTCATTACACTCATGGGAAACTGAGGCCAAACTGAGTGTCCCATCCAAGCTGTACAGTAGCTGGGCACACCAGAGGGCCCCACAAGCTCCACCCTGCTCCTAGAGGAGTTCCTTCCTCCCCCAAGTTCCTCTGATCCCCCCCCCCCACCAGCCAGCTCAGCTCCAGCAGATGCCCCACGCCTACCTGTGGCCTGGCTGTCCCCCCACTGCATAAACCCATTGAGGACAAGAGCCACTAAGCCACCCACTTGTCCCTCTGCTCCCTCCTCCTTGTTTTGGAGCAGAGGGAGCTGTCATCTGTCCCCTGGGGGTGGCAGATGGCCGCTTAGTCTGGAAAGGAAAACAGCACAATTTAGAATTAGTCCCGGGTGAAAGGTCACAGCAACATCTGCCCCCGGATGCTTCTGGAGTCACATTTCTATGGAGTGGCAGCCGGGGAGGGGAAGGCGGCACTGTGGAAACAGTGCAGCCGCGAACAAAGCTCGGGGCAGCTGTTGTGGGGCAACAGGGGCCGTTGGTGCTGGGCTGGACCGCAGTGGACGCTGCCCCTCCAAGACCTCCTGGGCCCAGCCTGCCTGACACTCCCCTGCTGTCAGCCAGCACGGACAGGTCCACGGCACGGGCACCGAGTGAGATGTGAGGAGAGAAGGCAAAGTAGACTCATGGGGGCTTTGAGGAGCAAAGGAGGGAAGAGGAAAGGGCACACACCTGGTGAGGCTGCTTGCCCGCCGTGAGCCCGCTGTGAGCCCCGCAGCCCCACGCAGGGGCAGGCATGCCGTGTTTGCCACATGGAGGGAGGATTGGGCTTTCCATTTGGAAGATGTCCAGTCTCTCCCTGCTGCCCTGGCTGGGTGGCACAGGGTGGCCTAGGTCACTGAGCAGGAGCCTGGCTGGGTGAGGCTTTGCATGCGACACCCCCCGGGCCCCCATAGCCATTGCTCCTAGCTAGGGGACGGGCGTGGAGGTGCTGGGGAGGGGGCTCTTGGTGGCCCTGACTGCAGCTGGGCTGTAGCCTGCAGGCCCTGGTACCTCCTGGATGTCCAAGTGTGTGGAGGGGAGGGGGCAGCTGTCTTTGGCCTTGGCCCCCCTGTGGACAGGCCAGGCTGGAGCTTCCCTGAACTCGAGTGGGGGCGGGGGTAGAGGCAGGGCCCTCAGCTGTCCCTCTCAGAGCCTTCTGCCTGGCCCCGGCACCTTAGGGGTGGTCTATCACTGGGCCCTGCCTGTTCTGTGGCTGAAGGTGCTGGCGCTGCCCCCCCCCCCCGCCAGGCCCAGCCAGGAAGCGTGCCTTCCCTGTGGTGTCCCGGAGCCTGGGGTGGCAGGGTGGAGCACAATGGGGCCTCTCAGCCACTACATTCCCCATGGAAGCCGCTGCCTGCCAGGCTCCCGCCCCGCCTGCCAGGCCTGCCAAGAGCAGCTGTGCCTTCACGAGTGCACCTGCTCCCGGCCGCCCTTTGCCCATGCTGCCGACGCCTGATTTATTGGGCATATTTTACCCTCGCTGGTCCAGCGTGATGCAGCCATGTTAACAAGGATGAATCCAGTTCAGGCCAGTTCTCCCACAGACCTCTCGTTGGGGTCTACGTTCGGGGTGTGGGCGGACACTGCCCCGGGGGCCGGAGGGTTAGGGGGCGTATGTGGGCGGGGAAGACCTGGGCTGGCCAGCCGCATGCGCTGTCTTCACCTTTGGGTGCTTAGTAGAGGATTGCTCAGATTGGGGGTCCGTGGTGCTCCCTCTAGAGTAAGTGATGGAGCCCCAGCCCGTGGGTCCCCCCCCAGGCTTCCTGCCTCTTGGAGCCTTGATCTGCCTGGCCAAGGGGCCCCGGAGTGCGCGGGGATTCGTGTGTGCGTGGCCAGCTCTAGTCCGGCTTTGATCATCAGGGTCCCTCTGCCCCACCCCCCTCCGTGACTTCGCCAGCGGCTGGGAAAGAAAAAAGCCTTTTCTCCAAGTGGGACAAGGCCAGCTCCCGCCTGACAAAGGGGCATTGATGGGAAGGGGTGCCGCTTGTGTCTGGCCAGCCTGTCCTGCCGGATCCCAGGCTCCAGTGGCTGTCCAGGCCAGCTGGTAACTGGATCCGTGTGCAGTGGAGGCCATGCCCAGAGCCGGGGTGCCCCAAGAGGCAGGTGTGGACGAGTGGCAGGGCCCAGGGGGTGGGGAGGGGAGGAGCAGCTGCCCACAGCCCCACTGCTTCCCACGCTGGGTAGGAGCCACAGTGAAGGCCGAGTTAAATTCGGGGAGTAGGGGGGTAGAGAGGAGGAGTAGGGCAGCAGGGGGTGGGAGTGTGGTGGGGGGGGTGTTTTCTTTAAGCCAGTTGGCTTGGGACTTTTGGCTTCTAGCAACAGATGGTCAGCCGAGTGGCCATTTTGTGCCCTCCCTACCCAAGCTGTGGTCACAGATGAAAGCCCAGGGTGGACAGATGCCTCCAGGCCCTGGGACAGTAGAGAAGCCTTGCTGCTAGCACAGCCCGCCAGCCCGTGGAGGGAGCCCCCTCCCCCAACTCACACGGAGGTGTGATTCTAGCAACCTGGCAGGAAGGGAGGGCTGGTTGGGGGGGGGTGTCACTCCAGCCTCAGGTGCTGGGCCTGCTGGCCAGGGGCAGGCCCCCCCCCATTCCAGGTAGACCTGGAGTATGTGCTTGGTGCACACAGGTGGCCTGCAGAGCCCTGTCCACACAGCACCCCTCTGGGCGGCCTGGGGGCCAGGTGTGGGCTGGGGCTTGCAGTTCTGCCTGAGAAGCCTTGGCCACTGGGAAGATCACAGCCCTCCTGGGGTGGGAGGACTGGAGGGAGGATTCAGATTTATGGCCCAGAAACCTGCAGGTGGTGGAGCAGGCTGGGGGGAGGGGGCACACGGTTGGGGTGTGGCAGACACACGGAGCCTGTCAGTGCCAGGACAGCAGACCAGGCCTGGGGACAACGCGCCCCTCTGTGCTGCCCAGGGAGGACCTGGCCACCACAGCTCGCCCCTCACAGCACCTGGAAACGTCAGGTGTGAAGGGGTGCTTCTATTTGCAGCCCGGGCTGCCCGGGTACGCGTTGTGAAACCCTCCGTGACAGAGGGAGCTGGGTGTGCCAGCCCACCTCCCCGTATGAGATTCCCTGGCGGAAGGGACCCTGAGTAGAAAGAAAGTGGGCAGCCAATCCATCCATCCGTGTCTGCACTGCTTCCCGCGTTTGCTGTGCTATTGATGTTTGAGTCAAAGAAACCATGAACTCTTTTATTACTGGAGTGATACATATTCATTATGGAGAAGCTGGAAAAGAAAAGCTGTGGCCTCCCAGAGGACTTCCACAAAGCTCCCGCCCCTCCCCCAGGGCTGGGCCTGCTCCCCTTCCCCCTCCCCCTTCTTCTCCTCTCCTTCCTCCTCCTCTCCTTCCTCCTCCTCTCCTTCCTCCTCCTCCTCTCCCTCTCCTCCTGCACTCCTTCCTCCTCCCCCCTCTCCTCTTCCTCTGCGTGGACCCACACATCTACTTGTGTTTACAATCCAAGCTGGTCTTTTTGAATGTTTTAGTCTTACCTGTCTCAATTAATAGATGTTATTATTTGTTTTTATTGAAGTGAAGTTCACTTAGCGAAACTAACCACTTTAAAGCCAACAGGCTGGTGGCATTGTGCAACCCCACCACTGTCTCCTCCCAGAACCTTCTATCATCTCAAAGGCACCTGGGCCCACCAAGCAGCTTCCTCCCTCAGCCCACTGCATCCACTGCCCAGGGTGGGAGGCCAAAGGGAACTGACCACCGTGTGTCTGCCCACAGCTGTGGCGGTGCCTTTGTGGGTCAGCGATGCCAGGATCCCAACCCGTGCCTCAGTACTCCCTGCAAGAACTCCGGGACGTGTCACCTGGTGGACCGTGGCGGCACGGTGGACTATGCCTGTAGCTGCCCCCTGGGCTTCTCCGGACCCCTCTGCCTGACACCCCTGGACAACGCCTGCCTGACCTACCCGTGCCGCAACGGGGGCACGTGCGACCTGCTCAGGCTCACCGAGTACAAGTGCCGCTGCCCCCCTGGCTGGTCAGGTGAGCATGGGGGAGGCAGCAGACCCCGGGGCTGCGTTCTCGCCCCCAGGCCCGCCCCGGCCCCAGTTGTCTGCATGACTGAGGTGCTCTGAGAAAGCTGTGCCATCGGCCGGCTCAAAGAGGTCGTCTAGGAGCTGAGATTCCGATCAGCATGGAGTTTCCAGAGCTGCCCGCCCTTCCCAACCCACTCACTTGTTGGGTTGAGGCTCCACGTGAACTGTCCCTGCTCCGTGTGGAGCCCCGGCCTGCCCTGTCTCCCTGCCGGGTGCCCTGTCTCCCTGCCATGGGCTGGGAGGAGACCCGCTGGTCTCGGCTCAAGGCCGCCCCCACTCCCCACATTCTGGCTGTCCTTGATGCCCAAAGGTCGTCATCTTGCAGCAGGTCCCGAGAACTGGGGAGATGGTACTGCAGGTTGATCCCAGGCTGCTGCTTCGGTGGTGGCTTAAGCTGCCAGAGGCTGTGGACGTGGATGGGTGGTGCAGCTTGGCCCTCTCTCCACGCCCCCTCAGGGAAGTCGTGTCAGCAGGCCGACCCATGTGCCTCCAACCCCTGTGCCAACAACGGCCAGTGCCTGCCCTTCGAGGCCTCCTACATCTGCCGATGCCCACCTGGCTTCCACGGCGCCACCTGCAGGCAGGATGTCAACGAGTGTAGCCAGAACCCTGGGCTGTGCCGCCATGGGGGCACGTGCCACAACGACGTGGGCTCCTACCACTGCACCTGCCGTGCCACCCACCGGGGGACCCACTGCGAGCTGCCCTACGTGCCCTGCAGCCCTTCGCCCTGCCAGAACGGGGGGACCTGCCGCCCCACCGGGGACGCCACCCACGAGTGCGCCTGCTTGCCGGGTAGGTCTTGTCCCACACGTCACGCACCACGCCACGCACCGTGCTGGCCTGGATGTGCACAGCTGGGCCATTCTCTGCTGTCAATCCCAAGGGGCTCAGGCGGGGTGCCTAGTGTGGAGGGCGCTTCCCCAGGGAGGAAGCCCGGAGACCATCCTGAGAGCCGGCCAGGGGCGGGGAGGGGGCAGGAGCCCCCGTGTGGCATGGGGCAGCTCTGAGTGGGGTGGCCGTTGGCTCAGGGTCCAGTGCCAGGTCAGCATTATTACCCACTACCACCTTGACATCTGCAGTGACACTGCCACTCCAGGCCCTCTCCGGACCATTTGCCCAGGGGAACTGTTTGCTGTGATCTGGACAGCTGGGGGCATGACTCCCTTGGGAGTGCCCTCCCTGGGGCCCCTCTCCAGAGCTGCGCTCTGGAAGCCCGTGGCACCCTGCCCCTGCCCGAGCCTCTTGGGTTGAGTGTGAGTCTACAACAGCTCACAAGCCCTCCCCCCCCCAACCTCCTGAGCCCAAGTTCCTTGTGTGAGTCACTGTGCGCCCAGGGTCTGGTGTGTGCAGCCCCAGGGGCTTCCCCTTTGCTCCGGGGATGGAGTGGGGGCGGGGGGGGGCAGGGGCTCCCTACCAGTGGCTCTGTTGTCTCTCTTGAGGGCAGAACTGCAGGAAGAGCCCCCCTCCTTCACCTTCACAGTTCTTGTTTGAGCAAATTCTGCTGCGACTCTAAAAATAAGACAGGAGTTTGAGAGCCTTGTCTGTCAGCTGCACATGTGCTGTTTTAGAGGAAGCGAGGAGGGTTCAGGAAGTGGGAGCGGGTTTGGATGCTGGGGTACATGGCTCCAGAGCTGTCCTGTGTCCTGGGCCACCCTGGTCCCCACAAAGGGGAAGCTTCCCACTGCTCAGGCTCTGCATGCAGACGCTGGCCTACGCATTTCCTGAAAAGTCACTGGGTGGCCTCAGGGGTCACAGCGCTCCCTGGTTGGGGGGCTGGGGAGGTAGAAGCAGGCACCCTTGTTGGAGGACATCCTTGGGCAGGTGGGTGAGGGCCTCAGGCAGGGCCATGGGTGCTGAGAAGTTGTGTCCTGCAGCCACTCAAGCCACTGCCTGGGCCCAGGGCAGCTAGAGGGCTGCTGTGCAGGTAGGCGGGAAGGGCAGGCCACTCCTCGTAATGAGAGGGGCCGGTGCTCCGAGGGAGGGCCGGAGGAGCCCACCACCCACTCAGCCTGGACTCACGCAGGCAGCTCCTGTGCCAGGCCCTCAGGAGCTAGTGATCCCTGTGGCCCCCCTCTGTCATCGTAGGAGACACTTCCCGCCTCCAGGGACTTGCCTGAGGAGTTGCAGGGCACCCTTGAGCCCTGGGGGTCACTGTGGCCTTGCCCTACCCAGTTGAACCCCACCCAGCCCAGCCCAGCCCTCCCTAGGCCCCCTCAGGTCACTTCTCAGGAGGCATTGTACAAGCAGAGGCTCTGGACCACGGGTCTGTGGGGCTCCCACTTGGCTCCCCCCCCCCCGCAGTCTTCCGCACTTCCCAGGGCAGCCCCCAGGCTTAGGCCCAGCCGGGGCACCCCACTTCAGAGCCAGGCTCTCCGAGAGCAGGAAACAAGCAGTGTGGTGCTCCCACCCCAAGTGGGACCTGGAGCTCAAGCACTAGGTTCTAATTCAGGGGGCTCACCCCCAGCCAGTGTCTGACGTGACTGAGCTTTTCCCAGCCTCTGGCTTTTGCTCCAGGGGGCTGCTGTGGGATTGAGGAGTCCCAGGGGAGGGGCTAAGGAGGTGGGTTCTCTGAGGGCTGGAGGCCGCAGGGTTCAAAGGCACCCCCAAAGGGTGTTAATTAGTAACTGGCTGCAGGTTTGGCTGTTGCCAGACTCGCCTTTCTGAGTTGATCATTGAACTAACGGGAGTTGAGCGGATTAATGGTTAACTGGCTGCTGAGGAGGTGCTCCTGGGCCTACCTACTGGATCACACCTCAAAGCCCGGGCCTAGCCTCTGGATCACACCTCAGAGTGGTCCAGGGCAGGAGGGGTTGGATCACACCTCAGAGCCCAGGCCTAGCCGCTGGATCACACCTCAGAGCCTGGGCCTACCTGCTGGATCACATCTCAGAGCCTGGGCCTACCTGCTGGATCACACCTCAAAGCCTGGGCCTAGCCACTGGATCACATCTCAGAGCCTGGGCCTAGCCACTGGATCACATCTCAGAGCCCAGGCCTAGCCGCTGGATCACACCTCAGAGCCCGGGCCTAGCCGCTGGATCACACCTCAGAGCCCGGGCCTAGCCGCTGGACCACACCTCAGAGCTCTGGCCTAGCCGCTGGATCACACCTCAGAGCTCTGGTCTAGCCGCTGGACCATACCTCAGAGCCTGGGCCTACCTGCTGGATCACACCTCAAAGCCTGGGCCTAGCCACTGGATCACACCTCAGAGCTCTGGCCTAGCCGCTGGACCATACCTCAGAGTCTGGGCCTAGCCTCTGGACCACACCTCAGAGCTCTGGCCTAGCCGCTGGACCATACCTCAGAGCCTGGGCCTAGCCTCTGGACCACACCTCAGAGCTCTGGCCTAGCCGCTGGATCACACCTCAGAGCCCAGGCCTAGCCGCTGGATCACACCTCAGAGCTCTGGCCTAGCCGCTGGATCACACCTCAGAGCTCTGGCCTAGCCTCTGCATCATACCTCAGAGCCAGGCCTAGCTGCTGGATCACACCTCAGAGTCTGGGCCTAGCTGCTGGATCACACCTCAGAGCCCGGGCCTACCTGCTGGATCACACCTGCTGGATCACACCTCAGAACCCGGGCCTAGCCTCTGGATCACACCTCAGAACCTGGGCCTAGCCACTGGATCACACCTCAGAGCCCAGGCCTAGCCACTGGATCACACCTCAGAGTCCAGGCCTAGCTGCTGGATCACACCTCAGAACCTGGGCCTAGCCACTGGATCACACCTCAGAG